TCTCTCTCTCGATCTTTGGGAATGTTTACGTGGGACCAACCCTGCTGCAGACGGCCTGTCTTTTTTTTTCTCCTCTTTGGGTAGGTGCTTGCTCTTGGTAGAACTCTTGTACGGGTGGCTCTTCTAGTCTTGTCTCTGGTTTTAGTCATGAAAAGGTATGGTATTTTATTGTTTGTGTGTGTGTGTTTGTGTGTATATGTATGTATTTATGTGTGTATATATGTATGTATGTGTGTGTTTATGTGTGTGTGTTTGTGTATATATGTATGTATGTGTGTGTCTGTGTGTTTGTGTGTGTATATGTGTTTGTGTGTATATGTATGTATGTGTGTGTGTTTGTGTGTTTATGTATGTATGTGTGTGTTTGTGTGTGTATGTGTGTGTGTATATATGTATGTGTATATGTGTGTGTGTTTATGTGTGTGTGTTTATGTGTATGTGTATGTATGTATGTGTGTGTATGTATGTATGTGTGTGTATACGTATGTGTGTGTATGTTTGTGTGTTTGTGTGTATGTGTGTGTTTGTGTGTGTATGTGTGTGTGTTTGTGTGTGCATATGTGTTGAAATGACTGTGTGATTTCTCTTTTGTGCCATTAATGTGACCTGTCACTTGACATTGAGTCACCCTTGATTTGCTTTTCTTTAAAAAGAAACTTGATGACCTTAAAAGAAAAAAATAAACCCTGAGTCCATGCCGTACCCAGAACTAGACTCTTGCCATCGGTTGAGGGATCTAACCGCCAAGCGGTCATGAGGTCTGCACATGGCTCCAACATTTCCAGGAAAGCTCAAGAACACTTCCCGATTCCCTAAAGAACATTTTGTTGAAATCACAAAGGAAGATGCCATTTAGACACCTCAGGGATCTGCCCTAGCCGTGTGTCATCGTGATTTTGTAGCATTTCTGACATACCCACGGCAGCATTGGTTCATTTATCTCTTCTTTGCAAGCGCTTGGGCTAGCCCAAGGCCCCACATGTACCAGGCAAGCACCCACAGCTAAAGCCAACCCTAGCAGGAAGATTTGGTTTAAAGATGTTAAAACACGTTCAGGTCATGATTTTTAAAGAGGTTTAATCATTTGAGGTATATGTGTGTGTTTCATGTGTGCGTGGCGTGTATACAGAGGTCACAGGACAACTTTCCTGGGTGTGTTGTACCAGGAAACGTTCGTGAACCCCCAAACCACCAAGGAGCAGATTCCAATGCAATTGCATTAGGCTCTCTTTATTCAAGCTTGAAGCTCAGGCTATCCACTGGCCTCTGACTCAGGAGAATGGGAGGGAGCCTCAAGCCCAGTTTCAGGCAAGCTTTTATAGAGCCAAGAAGCGGGAATCTAGCCTGGTACACATCTGATTGAGGGCAAGGATCGTGGCCTTTAACGTAATTGGCTGGTGCCGGGAGCCAAACCATAGACTTAACTTTGGCCTATCTCCTGATTGGTGGTTGTTAGGAAATGAAGTGTCAGGCACAGGCTTGTAACCTGGAGGTGCAGGTTTGTTGGGGGAATAACCTGGAAACTGGTGCTAGGCTCAAGTCTTGTTGGGGGCTAAGCTGGATACTGGTGCTAGATGCAGGTCTTGTTGCGGGGTAACCTGGATACTGGTGCTAGGTACCGACCTGTTAGTTAACTCGAGTTCAACCTTAGGTCAGGTTCTCTAAGATGGAGTCTGAACCCAAAGGATCCAGTCTCACAGGGGTTGGCTCTTTCCATCTTTCCATCTACCTGTGGCTTTTTGAGGCAGTGTCTCTCTTCTTTCTTCCATGGGTTGCTGCACTCACACATTTCTGAATGACTCTCCTGTCTCTCCTCCCATCACACTATCTCTAGGAGCGACGGGGTTACAGACATGAGCCACCATGCCCAGCTTTCATTTGGATCCTAGGGATTGGACACAGGTCTTCGGCTTACAGAGCATATTTATTGCTGGGTCATCTCCCTGGCTGTCAATCCCTTGTTTTTTTAGGAGATTTTCTTCAGACAGTAATTTTCTGCTCATCGGAGGGTAGAGCCGTGAGAGGGAATGTGAAAGGAACATTGTTGTCACTCACACACACACACACACACAGATATACACATGTGCACATGCACACACACATACACAGATACACGCACACACACACACATATACACACATGCACATACACATACATACACACACGTGTGCACACACACACACATACTTACCCAGCCTGAGTGCAGGCGGTACTCCACAGCCTGAGGTTTTGTTGAGTGTCCATTCTAGTTATGACCCCCTGGGTCAGGTGTGCTGGACCTGGATCCAGGATGCAGTCTGTTTTCTCCAGGCAATGAAGACAGCAGAGACACGGAAGGAGGAGATGGAAGCCAGCCAGGGCATAAATACTTATCTTTCTGGATGGTTGATTCCAAGAACCTTCACCGATACCCAAATCCCTGCATATAACATGTGCCTGCCTCATGCCTACATGCAGCCTGTGCACGCTCTAATCTCTGGGTGATTTATAGTCCCTGGCATGCTATAAACACTATGCAGAGAGCCATTGGGTGCATTGTTAAAGAACAATGATAGGAAAGTCCATGTGCAGTGCAGAGCCAATTTCTTCCAAATGTTTTCAGCATGGTTAGTTAAACCTGGAGAGAAGCTGACCAGGCAGCTAAAGTCATTTACATAGCATGCGAATAATTTACATAGCACACAGCTCATTAGCATAATGTGCAAGTTATTTACATAATTTGCAACTCATATAGCATGTAAGTCATTGATGCAGCATACAAGCCGTTTACACAGCATGTCAGTAATTTACATAGCATATGAGTCATTTACACGGCATACAAGCCATTTATATAGCACACGAGTCATTTATATAACATACAAGTCACATACATGGAATACAATCCACTCATGTAATGAGCAAAGCAGCATAGGCTGGAGACATGCTCAGCGGTTAAGAGCACTTGGTGCTCTTGAAGAGTTCCCAGGTTCAGTTCCCAGCATCCACATGGTGGCTCACAACCATCCCTAACTCCAGGAGATCTGACGCTCTCTTTTGACCTCCGAGGGCACCAGGCACACAGGTGTACATGCATACACGCAGGCAAAATACTCATACACATAAAATAAATAAATCCTTAAAAAAGAGAGCAAGCCGATGCTGCTAGCATGTTCAGACCATGTGTTGTCACAGTCAGCCAGCGTCAGCACGGTTTCATCCACCAGAACAAAACAGAGATGGCGTACATCTTAGCTGTGACCTGCACCCCTCTGTCCCTCAGTAATGGCTTAATCTTTCTGTCTCTATGGACTGGCCTAGTGTGGATACTTTGAAGAAACAATTTTAATCTGTGGTTTTTCATGATGGAATAATGTTCTGTTGTCTGGGCGAGCCACATTTTGTTTATCTATCAACAGGGTCTCAGGATGTTTCCCTGGCTGGCCTGGAACTCACAGGGACCCGCCTGCCTCTGCCTCCTGAGTGTTGCCGGGCCTTAAACAATACTTGGATTGTGTCCACGTTTTTCATGCACTAAAACATTCTTCTAGAACAAAAGCCTCGGCAGTATCTTCTCAAGTTCTTTCTTGTGTGGCTTACCTTGAGCATGCGTTGGTGTGTGATCTTAAAACATCCGAGACTATGTCCTTTATAAGGAACAGATGTGTTGGGGGCTGGAGAGATGGCTCAGAGGTTAAGAGCACTGACTGTTCTTCCAGAGGACCCAGGTTCAATTCCCAGCACCCACATGGGAGCTCACAGCTGTCTGGAACTTCAGTTCCAGGGGATCTGACATCCTCACACAAACACACATGAAAGCAAAACACCTGACGTATATAAAATAAAAACAGATTAAATTTATTTATATTTTATATAAAATAAAAACAGATTAAAATACAAAAAAGGAACAGATATGTCTTTTAAAGAGATTTATTGATTTATTTATTTTAATTTTGTTTTAAAGAAAGATTTGTTTTTATTTTGTATTTCTTTTATTTAGTAAGACTATGATATAATTAGATCATTTTGCCTTCCCTTTCTTCCCTCCAAACGCTCCCTTAAGCCCCTTCTTGCTCTCTTTCCAATTCATGGCCTTTTAA